GTTGGAAAACATTAAAGAAATATTCCAGAAATGAACAATTTGTCAATTTAAGATTGTGTGCTGTTCTGACTAGTGTGAAGAAACCTCATGCCTTCATCCCTTTGTCCAATCTATCCATGCTATGTATGTTGTCCATGCATTAGTCACTTAGTAACCATCTCAGGACAGACATAAGATTGAGTGTTGTAGCATGGCAGTGCTGTGTTCAGGTAATAAACATGAAAACATAAAACTTTGGAACATTTTTATTGTTTATAAGTGAACCGGTCATATATATCAGTGGTTCTTAAATTTTAACATCAGAAGCACCTAGAGTTCTTTGTTAATACTGGATTTCTCAGCCCCATCATCAGAGTTTCTTATTTAGAAGGTCTGAGTCGGACCTGAGAGCTATACTGTCAGGAGCTTTCCAGGTCTAGTTCTGGTCTTAGGGACCACACTTTGAAGATCTCTGTAGTATCCAGTTCTGTCCACCATGCCTTTGTACAACTGAATTACAGCATGCTTAACCTTGATAAGAAATTAGAGTTGGTGTAAACATGGTTGTTAATGTGGCTTAGAAGTTGTATTTCTCTCCTACTTGCAGTTCTCTGAGCATTTGAGGCTAAGGAGGAGAAAGCTATAAAGTCCGTGTTTATAATATTCATGTTTGCTGTGATACAGTTTATGAACTTAAACAAATTACCATAAATTTTATGGTTAGTTTGAGGTTTTTGGTCTTTTTGCAGTCTTTTGGTAAGTTATCTTCTTTATATATTTTTTTCATTTTTATGATTATGTTCCACTTCTTTAAAACATACTGATTAGTTCTTTGTCAGCCAGTATTGACTTACTTAAAATATTAACATTCATGTGTAAAAATATACAAGTACTTAAAATAGGCAAAATAGTTTTAGTTGATTCAGACGCAAGCTTACAGAATAGCTAAAATGTCACTGACTGGTTTGAACAACTGTGCACTTTTTAAACATAAGAATTTATTTTTGTTTTTATAGAGAGGATCTGACGAACTACTCTCAGGCAGTGTTCTCAGTAGTCCCAACTCTAACATGAGTGGCATGGTAGTTACAGGTAAGTGTTACTCTCTTTAACAGACATGTTGTTTGCTGTTTGATGGGGCAGAATGTTGAAACTAAAATTTAGCCTATACCAGAATAGCCTTTATTTTTAAATGTGCTGAAACATTTTAGAGGAAATTTTACTGTAGTATGTATTTCCTAAATGGAAAAAACCTGAAGTGGGTGAGTTTTGTGGACAAGTAGCTTTTAACTGACTGCTTACATTTTTTGTTGTTGT